ATAATAATCAATCATAAGAGACCGTAACATACAGGGGTAAGGGTACACTGAAATACCACACAGGGACTCTTATACACACATGCACGCACAAGACACACATGCACACACACGCACACACACACGCACACACACGCACACACAAAGATTGAACTTGATGAACCTGTGTCTTTTTTTCAACCTCAAATACTATGTAACTATATGTAATGTTTTTGATATTTTTTAGAGTGAGTTTAACCCCACAGCCGCCATCAAGTATCATATTCCTATTGGTGGCAGAATACCATCGATTCTTTGTTCTCTTGGCTGCATATGGAAGGTACAAGCCAACCAAGAAGCAGCTGAGGTGGTGGAAGGTAATCGACAACCAGGAGCTTGAACAATGGGGATCCTGCATATCATGGTACAGTATATGGCACATCCATATCTGTAATTATTTTTTTTCAAAGTAGTGAGCAAAACAAAGGGCACAAGAAGAGGGTTAGATGAAGCCACTACAGTATATAACTAAGGCTTATTCCATTGCATACGTTCTGTATCATTATTACATCTGCTACAGTATTCACAAACCACTGGTACTGTTAAATGTCAGAAGTACCAAACACAAGCACTGCTAGAATACTGTCTTATCAGAATGGCTCTGCACAATCCGAACTAGGAATTGACTCACGTGGTCCTGTGTTGAACTTTCATCTATTGCTAGTATTAGGCTTTCACATATATAGCATTCTTCTCCAAACTTTACTCACCCTTTTGAAATTAGGCGGTATCCCTCTTATCCCTGTGCTGCAGTCTAAGGGGCTTCCCAAGGTGATATGGACGAGGCAGGTTAAAGAAATGTAGAGTATGAGGGTCCCCATGGTACAACGTGACAGCAACAAAAGTGACCAGATTCCCAGGGTCAGTATATGAACACACTGTACCAGCACTTTTGAACACTGTCCCACCCCTCCCCCCCACCACGCTTTTCCGGCAGTCACTGGTCATAGGTCCGGAGAGAACAAGATAACAAGGGAATGTGTGCCAAATTAAATACTGATACATGCCTTTGCTAGCTGGACTGTTTCATGTGAAATACTATACAA